CCCTAAACCCTAAACCCTATATATCCCTATATATCCCCTCTAAAGGGGACCTAATTATTGGGTACATGGACCCTAAACCCTAAACCCTAATCCCTAAACCCTAAGCCCTATATATCCCTATATATCCCTATATATCCCCTTTAAAGGGGACCTAATTATTGGGTACATGGACCCTCTGGGTTATTTCCAGCAGGTTCAGCCACCCCGGAGACCCAGATCACCCAGACACCCGTGCTTCGGGCGCTGCTGGCAGCGCCGATCCAGTTGGGGCTGGAGCCGATGCAGGAGGCTAGAGTTTAGGGTTTAGGGTTTAGGGGGTCTTAGGGTTTAGGGCCACTTGGCGAATTTTGAATTCGAATGTAGATTCTAAGGCCCTTGCCCGACATCATCCCAAATGGTGGTTTATATAGGAAAGGTGCGCAAATTGGCCCACTTTCAGGTTTGGAATTGTTCAATTTCAAAATGGCCCGCAGCAAGCTTGGTTTCTACAGATTGTACTTATGCTTCTGGATCTGTTCACGCCACATTCAAGACTCAGCCCGCATGGCGCATTCTCCAAATTTGTTGAAGCCAGCTTTGAGGAATTATCTCACAGAAGACTACAGCGAATTGACCCTTGTGTTGATCAGAAGAATCTCGCAACCGCGTTGCCTGCTAAGAATTTTGTACAGGAGCCTTCCCCGCACTGCTTGACTCTCCAACTCAACCATGACTACGAGGCACTAGAACAGCCACAGCATGAGAAGGTGTTTCACAAGCGATAGTATCGCACCCTAAACGCCAGAATTGAACCCAAAACCTTGATGTCTTGGGTTGTGGCGCCCAGGGCTTAGGGATTTATGGGCCAGTGTTGGAGCTGAGCTTTCTCTTCGAACTGGACTTCAGGGTGGTCTGAACCAGGACCCTCCAACCACCCTTTGACAAGTTCCATGCGCGTCCTATTTATGTGTATTTGGGCCTTTTAAAAGATGCTTGGACGGGCTAGGAATGCTCAAGAGTTCAGGAGGCTCTGCAATGAGCCAGCAGGGTTGGTGCATGTGAAAGATTCTGAAAGTCTTACGTAGGATGACTTGACAGCCTACAAAAATACGACGCAAATTGAAGACTTCATGCCTGCGCCATGTAGGTCTGAAGTCTGAAGAACCAGTGGTGATATTCCATCTGCTTGATTGGAAACGTTTCATCGTGAGTTCTGGTTGTAGTCAGACCTTCTTAAGTTGTCACTACACTTTCAGTGCGCGACGCCATGGGCAACTGACTGCAGTTAGCTGGGGTGCCCTGGCAAAATTTGGATTTTTCCACCCAAAAATATCGTAGAACCATGGGTGTGGTTTGGTTTCCGAAACGTTGGGTTGTTTTTGGGGAGTCCCGAAATGAGGATTACACTCTGGGGTCTGTGCTGGTGTCCTCTGTCCTTCAAAAGGAGTTTCACCTTGTTCCCTAATGGTCAGCCTCCCTACCCCAGCACAATAAATGCTCCCAATGTAGCACATTATCGATTTTGAAGATTACGACTGCTGTGGTTCCAGTCCTAGACAGAGAACTCACGCTATACTTCTCTCACAGATTTGTGATAGCCCCGCACCTCAGTACCAGGGTTTAGAGTTTAGGGTATCGGTTGGGTACTGCCCCCCACCCAGCAACAGTTGGATAATATTTGCATTAAATATCAGCATATATCGCCCTTACTATGACCCTCATCATAGACTGTTACTGGGTGGGGGGCAGTACCCTAGGTATCGGGCTTAGGTCATTAGCTGGCTCTGGATAGGCATTTCTCAGAAGAGGGCTTCTCCCAGGTTCAAAGCCTCACAAGGGACCAGGTCAAGAGAGTCAAGAATGCAAAATCGGCCTTTTAGGTTTCACCGGGAAGTTTCTGGAATCGATAACCGCATATGTGTACCAAGACCTATCAGGATGTCTGAATTGCAAACAAACCACAAGGTGGAGAAACCATCCATGAAAAGGGCGACCAACCAGCCTCTCTTGGGCTAAGGCAAGACGAAATGCTGTTGGAGGAAGCACCCATAGCCATCGATAGCTTCGATCATGAGTTGCCAGGCCCATCGTCGCGCTGAAGCACGCTGAATCAATTATCATGCCCCATACAAAGTGTTTGGTGCGGCAACAACTTCAGCAACTCTACATTTGGTTTGGTTCATTGCGAGAACAGTGATTTTGTCATAAGAGCATGCATGCCGGTGGATATGTCAGCATCTTCAGGGACTGAAGAGGCTTCTGTTTTCGTAGCAATGCAGAAAACTCCAGCCTCTGCGGCGAAGCTTGCATATTTCTCTGGGGGACCCAGCTAGGATGCAAGACGTGTCGCATTTTTAATTAAGTCACTGCCTTTGTCGAGGTGCGTTTTCGTTTGGCGTATTAGTCTGCATTCAGACCCTCAATGCAGGTAGCTGTCCAGGTGGGTTGGGTCCGAGCTTGGTGTAGTAACTGTAGTAACTCTGAGACTGATGCCGCGGTGTCTTGAACACGTTGGATAGTGTTAGCATGTCAGTTTCCATCGAGGGAAACGGTGGTTTCTCAAAATAAGGGGACCCCAATATAGACCCCAATATACTACAGTCCATTTTATGGGGACCCCCGAAATGGTACCCCTGATTTCGGAAACCCACCCAAAATTCAATTAGCAGATCTATGGCTTTGGCCTCAAGTTTGAAGGCTGGCTTATTGGTATTGCTGACATGTGAGCTATAGTCTAAACTTCTTAAAGGGAGGTTATATAGGGAATTATATAGGGGACTAGTATAGGGCTTATTAAGAGGATACCAGGAGTTTAGACTATAGCTCATGTAAAAGAACCCCAGCAGGCTTGGTGTATTTCTGTAGCCATGCACACGATGACCACCTCAAAGGTTTGAGCAACTTGGCTGAGTGTTGAGAATCTTTCCCTGGGGATCCAAATATAGTCCCCCTTAAGTAGATAGAATATGGCTTTGGGTATTTTGTACTGAGATCCCCATCTACCCCATATTCTATCTACTTAAGGGGGACTATAGCCCAATGTAGGTAATATTTACAGGCTTTAGGGCCCAATGTAGGTACTATTCTTCTACTTGGATCCCTAGGGTTTTGGGATGTTTTGGGCTTTCGCACAGTGGTGAAGTCTGCGAATCATAGCAAAACGTATGCCGGTAGCTTGAACCCTAAACCCTAAACCCTAAACCCTAAAACCCTAAAACCCTAAACCCTAAAACCCTAAAACCCTAAACCCTAAACCCTAAAAGGACGACCAAGGCGGGAAGTGGCAGCAAGGCCCTATTTATGCCTCAGAGGTGACGGTACGATTGTTGCGTAGGAGATGGCCGCAGCTGGCGCCCTTGCTGAAGCCTTTGGCCATTGGACCCATACACCGCATTCAACTAGGCAGTGCTGGCGGGCTGGAGGTTGAAGTATCCCTGGTCGACGCGAAGCCCAGCATGCCAAAAAGCATACGTTTTTTTTCGTTTGGTTGAGTGAAGGTAAGTAGCTAACCGAGTTCATGTTGTTGGTTACTTTCTCCTTCTCGTCCATGGTGCGGGTCATCTGGAACCCGACTGCTAAGACATCTTAGCACCATAGGGTGTCCTTTGTGGTAATCAGTGAGGTCATGGCGACGATCAAGTAGCTTCGCATGTTGATTCAAGTTTGAGCTTAATGAGCGTGATGCACTGCAAAAATCAGAGACTGTAGTACACCATTGAACATGTAATTCCCAAATACCGGGAGCTTTTGCAAAATGATAGGTCCCTTTTTTGTTCAGAGGGCGTTTGCAACAAGCGTCATTTGATTCCGATAGTAAGCGTCTCATTCACTTGAGATGCACTCCAGATAGCTGAAGGTCGGTACTGTATGTAGACATTGAGGCTCCATGTAGACAGTATCTACAGATTTAGATCCCTATACAAACCCCTATGTAACCCTAGTTTGCACAACATTTTTCCAGTTGATTTTCCATTTGATTCCCCATTACAGGAACTTGAACGTAAACCCTAAACACTGAATGGTAGCACCTATTTCATTCTTCAATCCCTAAATCCCTACCTAATCCTATTATGAGCCCACGGAGAGTACTCGTTGTTTCCACCTCGTGTTTCATCTTCTGTTTGACTTGATTCTCCACACAATGATGTGTCCATAGATTCTGATTTATATGCCTAAACCCTAAACCCTATTCGATTCCAGCCCAGGAATCACGTGCCGGGCTCGGTTATGCTCATCTTAGCAGGATTCTTCGGAAACTTGCTCTACACTGGCGACTGAGAAGATACCAGAAAAGAGCTCTCTTGGTTTTAACTCTGGTTAGTAAGGAATGAAGAGGAACATTTTTGGTCTTCGAGATGAAAAAGAGACCGTTAATTATTGGGATCAATCCTTTGCTAACCACATGTGAAAAGTTCCAACCCGACTGGTTTGGGATATGCATGCGTGAAACAAATAAACTCACCTTTAGAGCTTTCTCGTCTCCCATCTTTTGGCTTCTGGGTTTGCAATGACTCCATACTGCCAAGGGGGTTCCTGACTTAACTTAGTTCGTCGTCTCTGCATGGGCGGAAGCCGAGAAACAAGGCGACTTCCGCCTTCACGACCAGCACACTCACCTTTCGACATCCCCGCTTCTTGTGCGTCCGAATGCTACCCTTGAGCGCATTTTCTTGGACAACACCTTTTGCCATCCACAGTTCCATCACGCTCCACGTTCAGAGGTGGCTAAGCATATCGCAAAGCGGCTGATGCTAGGCTGCTATAGTTGGTATAAGCTCAGCATTCCAGAGAGTCGGAATACTTGTGAATATATGCTTGGGCGCAGAGATCGCTGCATGGGAAGCCTGTAGTGTGGCGGTACATAGCAACCACAAAGCTATGCGCTATGCGTCAGGGTACCTATGCATGAGTGCCCGGCGCTTGCTATCTCTGCATCCAGGATAAGCAAGTGGCCGTGCATAGCATACGTGATGGTGTACAAACTGGGCAAGGAGTCTTGGCCAAAAACTATGGGAGTTTCCACAAGGCAGGGGCCCCATCACTGTACACCCTACAGTCAAAATTCGAGAAGTCCCTAAACCCTAAAACTAAATGGCAGAACTTTTAAACTTTTCAAAATTTGGGTTGGTCAGTGGTTGTTTAAGCTGGGGACTGGGCCTCTGCCCCAACAGTAAAAGTATCGTTAGCATCCGAGGGGTTACAGGTTTAGGCTAGGCGCTTGTATTTCCATCACTGGATCTACAGAAAGTACATCGCGGGCTCTGTGGCAATCTTTCGGAAGAATTCTTGAGCATGAAGTCACGCAGGGTAGCACGAGATGCGTGATCACTTCCGCCAGTCAATCAAGCCCTTCTGTTCAGACCACGGTTGTCCATACTCCGATGGTGGCGCGGCAGGATCCTCGTGGTAAGTAAGATTCTGTGACATGCCTTTTTCCCGGCAGTAGTTTGTACCAGCACCAAAAAAATGCTTTAATTGTGTAATTTGAAGAATTACTTGCAGTGTACGAAGCCCATGTACCACAAGCGACGCCGAAGAATGGTGATGATACTGTCAGCTAAGTCAGGATAGCCTCCCCCCCACCCCGCCACGACTGCGGGTGATGTCATGAGAACATAAGAAGCAAAGGGGGGAAACTACAACCCAGGAGTCGCTCCTCACCTACCTTGCAGCCTTGGCAGAATTTTTCAGGATTGGGGTTTAGGAACATTGTGGGTTTAGGGTCTTAGGGTTTAGGATTATTCAGGGTTTTGGGGTTTAGGATTATTTAGGGTTTTGGGGTCTAGGAACCGCAGGACACTTCCAGGCGGACTCGGAAAGCTTGCTGCAGAAGGGATTAGGGTTTGGGTACTTTTCCAAACTGGGGGACCCTATATAAACCCCAAAATGCTAGAATTTTGTATTATAGGGACCCCAGAAAGGTATCCCCAATTTGGGGAAATCCCCATTGAGGGGTTGAGGATTGATTAGGCTCAGTCACACCTTTGACAGCATTAAAGCCTTTGACATGACTTTAAATATACCAAGTGCCTTGGGATACGCTAAGTAGTGTAACGGGCTTCAAGTAGCTTGGCGGTTTCCCAGAGAGCAGATTACGGGTTTCAAAGTTCGATCACTTAGTGCACGCAACCACGATTGAGAAGTGAGAAACAAATCATTTGCCGGAAGCCGGACATCCGACCATTATCCCTACTCCTACTACTCCTACTGCTACGCTTTTCTTACTATTCTTCTTCTTATTATTATTAGTACTGCTATGATTACAACTATTATCAGTATTGCTGTAGCAGCCCTAGTTGGAACTCGTCAGCAAGATAGAGTTGGCCTGTTCTGTTTTACGGCGTCCTCCTGGGAGGGAGATGTGTCCCAGAGCACTGAGCCCTGTCGTAAAAAGGCATCAGGGGACCCTTCAGACGGAAACAACTCCTTTTTATCTCTTTTCTCGCACCAAAAAAAATAGAAGCGGGTTCTTAGAAATGCCCGATAATCTCAAATAATCTTACGTAGATAGCCTTGAGTAATAAAGTTATTCAGGCACATCGCTTGAAGTGCATCGTCTTGCTCCCCAAGGCGGGGAGCGTTGGTAGAAGTCCCGGGATTAGATTAAGGCTTTACGGCTATCGACTGCAGTGCAAGTTAATCGCAGGCTTTGCGTTACAGCGCTTCACCACTGAGACCAACAATCTTCTGCAATTCAAACGGCGGATCCATGTCATCAAAACCACACAAACTGGCTGGTAGTTAGTGGGGAATATGGGCAAATCCCTATTCAGCTTTTGTCCAACAGATGCGCCGGATCCTCCAACCTAACGCAATTCGAAAAGGTTGCCCAACCTTTCTTTTGGACTTGACAATTAACCAGTGACCCGAACCCCCGAACCTGCATGCTTTCTCCCAGTCCCTTCAGAATTTCTTTCAATCCTAGAGCTCGCCCCCAGAAGAGTTTTACATTGCGGTCGGGAACAGTGGCTGGAATGGCGCCCGCACCGCCCGCA